CCTCCCCTGACACAACTTCAGGCCATTCCCTCGGCTCCCGTCGCTGGTCACGACACAGAACAGATCAATGCCTGCCCCTCCTCTTCCCCTCACGAGGAAGTTGTGACTGCAGTGTGGTCTCCCCTCAATATGAACACACCGAGCAACCTCAGCTGCTCCTCGTACGGCTTCCCCTCAAGGCCCTTCACCATCCTCGCTGCCCCCCTTTGGACACTGTAATTGCCAACGCAACTTCCAACACATCCAGCTTGTCCTGGAAGAGGCTTTTTCCGCCACCGCGCACCACATGCAGCCCGACGGACACATAAGCGCAACACACGCCCGGACACCGCAGCAGTACGATGGAGCGGAAAGCGGCGCGGCTCCTTTACAAGAGCCTTCTGAAACACCTGTTTAACGAAAAAGCGCCGAGAAGCTGCCCCTTTCCAAAACCCCGACCCCACCACCGCCACCTACCCCCGGCAGCGGAACCTCCCAGCCCGCGCTGTGTTTTGTTTACCGCGGCCCTGCTCGGCCTAATGGCGGGTGTTTGAAAGCAGCGCCCCCCGACCCCCGTTACCTCCCGGCGGGCCCAGGCACAGGCCCGGCCCACGGGGGCCCCGCTATGGGCCCAGCACAGCCCCGGTGCCCCCCGAAGGGGTCACCCCAGGGCAGCGCCAGCTCCGCCCGCCGCGCTCCCGGCCGCCCCGCCGCCTCATACCCCGCTCGGGCGGCGGCCGCGCCCTCCCGCTCGCTCCTGGGACTTGTAGTCCGAGGGCCGGGCCCGCGGCCATGTCTGGTCCGGGAAGCCGAGGCTGAGGCCGAGGCCAGGCCACCATCCCGGCCCCGGAACCCGCGCTCTCCTCTCGGGGCCGCTCCGGGGCAGCGCCCGCTCCAGAGCGCAGCAAAATCGCCACGTAGGCAGCTCGACTGCAGGCTTTTGAAGCATTTAAATGGACGTAAAACTGTGATCGTGCAGCGGTTTCTTCACCCATAGGGTGGTCGGGCGCTGGGACAGGCTCCCCAGGGAGGTGGTCACAGCACCAAGCCTGACAGAGTTCAAGAAGCGTTTCGACGGTACCCTCAGGCGCCTGGTGTGACTCTTGGGGATGGTCCTGTGCAGGGCTAAGGGTTAGACTCGATGATCCTTGTGGGTCCCTTCCAACTCGGCATATTCTGTGGTTCTCTGATAGTTTCCATAGGCAGTCTTCTCCCTGGGATCACCGTGTGGCCCCGTAGGGTCAAAGGGACTTAAGGAAGAGCGGCCGTATGTTTGGAGGTACCGTGGCAGGGCAGCAGCACCTTGCTTACTGTTTGCAGAAAAAAATCCAAAACCCACTCACCTCAAACAGTATTTTAACGTTCTCAGGTTTTAAAATGCACCTGAAGGTGCTCTGCCGAGGAGACCTGCCCGCCCTGCAGACACCACGGAAGGACACACCGCTGCTTACCAGCTGCATAAACAATCCTCTGTGTCTGTCGATTTTGCTTGAACAAGCCGTTAAAATGCTTTCTTGAGGTCTTCTGAGGACAGAGTAAACGCTGGCTCTGTTTACTGTAAGGAAAGGTAGTACAGCACATGAAAAATTATAGTGCTTCTGAACAGTGCAGATGCTGTGCAGGAACTGTAATCAAGTAAAATACTGCTTCTTTGCATTCCTTTTACTTGTGTCATAAAAATGACTTTAAATACCACTTGACATTTTTCCAGGAGTGGTAGGGAAGACTGGAACAGGAATAATGTAGTGATGTTAAGAACGTGCTACTTAGACAATGTGTCAAATCCACTTTATATTTTCCATTTCTTGGACACAAGTTACTTACTGGCAAAAGGTAGAAATGCCTATCCATTTTCCCTTACTTTCTTTACAATGTAATAAGAAAGCAGAGTTACTATTCACATAATACATAGGTAGTCAAAGATCTCCCAACTGTATTTTCAAGACCTACTTATTTTTGTTGGTTGTTCTTTCCTGCTCTTTTGAATTATCCTTATGTATTAGATATATTTCTAAGAAAAAAGACAGTGAGGCATAGCTATAGGAACAACAACTGCTGTTATTTTTAGGGGAAGAATCTTCACATACGATGGAGTTATTTTCTGTATTTCGATCTGCACAAGTCACTCAAGTTTCTCTGTCACTTCAGAAAGTTTTTACATAGTAGCAATGCCAGTAGGGAAGGACTGAAGCTTTGGAGTTTTTTAAGTAAAGCCTTAATGAAAAGGAAGATATGCTGATAAGCACGACAGTTAATTGTGTAACAGATAAAATATTAGATAAGAAAAAAATTAACTTACTAATATGATGGGAGATTTTCTTTTCTGATTTTGATGAGAGATTTTATTTTCTTGCCTTGACCTAGGAAGGTCTTAATAAGCCAGGAAGACTTAATTGTGGATTACTCTCTTCTAATTATTATTTTGTGTATCTCGGTTGGCTATACCATGTGAAAAGATATTCTTCAAAATTAGGTATCTACAAATTCTGATTTGTAAGTAGAAGCCAAATTATTTTATGAGTCATTTGAGCTTTTGAAACTCCCTAGTGAATGGAGGCAACTGACTCACCGAGGGATGCTTTGATTGATTACGCTGCACATAAGAACAGCCATGGTGTTTCAGATCAATGGTCCACTGAGCTCAGTTGCCTGTTTTCCAAATGCAGTTAGCAGCAGATGCCTAGAAATGTACAAGGGCTGGGCAAACTTCAAATGAACACTCTCCCTGCCTCTAGCTGTTTTCAGCTCAGTACATTTCCTAAGCCTGATATATTTGTCTCTTTAGTTAATCAATGACACTCTCCCCCAAGGACTTGAATTTGCAAACTTTTTGCATCAGCAACATCCTTTGACAAGAGTCCTGCAGGTCTGTTTTATTATTATTAATTTTATGACCTCATTCATACCAGCTTCACTGGCCTTATGTTCTTAAGAGAGACTGAACAGTCCATCCCCATCCACCTTCTCCATGCCACTCATGATTTCACAGAGCACTACCATGTCCCCCCACATTATTCCTTCTTCCACGCTGAAAAATTTCAGACTACTCCACTGCTCCACATGAAGAAGATCTCTGTTGATTTTTATTGCCCTTCTTCATTCAGCCACAAACTTACACAGTTGCAATATACTGTTCTCTGTCTTGTTCTCCACTCCCACATCTTCTCCCTTCCTACTCCCACCAAATTGCTAACTTTTGAGTTAGACAGCATTTTAAGGACGGAATTTTTTTCTCAGAAGATGCATCAGTTGGCTATTGAAATTTAAATGAAATCTATTACATAATTCAGCAGGGATTTGTCAATGATGGTTTCAGTCCCATTGATTTCTGTTTATACCATTAAACCCTCACTCACAACTGCCCTATCTTACAAGGCATTACAAGCAAGTGCTGTTTCATAAGCAAGTTTTTATCAGAACTAGTTGTCCAATCATGTTATTACACCACAAGGTTCTACAAGGTAATTGACTGTTTCTGTCCTATGACATGTTAAAAAGAGTCATTATGTTCTCCCACAGAAAATGACCTTTCTCTGGGAGAGCACCATTCAAAGAAGCAGCTGTGTGTGGATGCTTGAACATGTCTGTGTGCAGCTCCTCTGGTGTGACTTTGCTGGGCTCTCCAGGATCATCAAATCAACTGTTTTTTGTCAGACCAGCACTGGGAGAGGAATGCCCGGTCCACTCATGCCTGTGTCCCTCACTCTGTGTGTTTGCAGAACCTACTTGCCTCTGGTATGCAGGTTGGAATTTCCACTGTATTGAGATATGAATTGAGTGAGGGCAGTGTCAAAATTAAAACTAACAGTAATCTTGTACTCAATAGGAATAAGGATTGAGGTGAAACTGCATCAATACTTCCAAACAGTGTCACACTGCAGCTGCTTGGAAAGACTCATTGGTGAGCTTGTGCTTCCAGATCTGTAGAAGTGAGTCTGGTCTGGAATTCAGACCTTTCATTTACATAGTAATAAGGTGGAATGTTGAAAAGATTCACAATGCAGCTCAGTCATCCTCAAAGGAGAGGCACTTGCATACTGTGAGCTTCAGTACAAAACTCTCATATTTTACAAATACATGCAACTAAGTATTTTTCTTTAAGTCAAAGACTGTAATGCTGGGGGTACCCCTGAGCTGGACATGACCCATAGCTGAACTTTCCAACCTGATATTATATTTAGCCTAGTATTGTATTTAGCCATATATCTGCGTATTAACCAAGATGCTATATAATCCTTAATAATACTTTAGGAGGAGACATTTATGTTTCTTATATGTTATTAATAATATGCAATGTCTATATGGTTTTAAATGTGCCTTTTTTTTCCAGTCAAGGCCATGAAAGCAGTAGGCCTCACGTGGTTGCAGCTGGTTCATATAAATGTGGCCACAGTTCTGTATTTAGAGACTAGTCAAATGCCACGGGGCATTTGACAGTAGTTGGTCCAAACTGACTCCTTGCTTTTGCCCTGGGCCCTGGCCAGGCTACAGGGGAAGACTAAGGAGAGAATAAAGCCAGATTGTTTTCCGCACAAATTGAGTGATGTAAGCTTGTTTAACCCTCTCACAGCAAAGATGGAGGCCTTCCCTGCGAGTAGACACACTGTGTAAGATTTCCCAGTTACCGAGAAGAGGTTCTCCAGACCTTCGCCTGTGACTGGGGCCTCCCCAGCTGAAGTACGGTCTGGATGATGGTAAAGTATTATAGGGTAGCTGGTGATGTATCTCTCTCTTAATCACTGTAAGACTTTCTTTGTAGTAATGATTAGATGCATTAAGTGTATCCTTCCATAAGCCACTGTTTCTTTTGTAATTCTTTACTGCTTTGCACTATAGTAAACTTATGCACTTATTCTTTAAAGCTGGTGTCTGTGTTCACTAAATCCACCCTTGTTCCCAAGTCAAAACAGATCGGCAAAACAAACACCTGCATAAGATCAGAGATATTAATAACCTGGTAATGAAAAGCTGATTTTTTAACATCTTCAATTAAATGAATGAAAACACAGTGATGATAAAAATAATCTTAACAGTTTATATAATCTGAAGTGTGAGATCTACATTGGTACAGATCCCACTACAGACAAGAAATCAAAGGTAATCTTACAATAGGAGAAGATCTTGCAGCACAAAGTTGTGCTCCTTAGAGCTGAAGGAATGCACCTCAAATCCAGAAGAGTTTCCTTATGCTGAAGCGTTCCGCAGACCTGTGTGCACATGAGGGCCTATCCCCACAGAGATGCCCTCCAGGCACAGCTTAAAGAACCTGGAGGAGACACAACACAAAAAATGTGATGATTCAGTAACCATGAAAGTTGCCTTTCTGATAGCATTTCCCCTTAAAACCTGTGAGTCATTTCTGCTTTATAGGCCTATGGATTTAGGGCAGCATATCTTAAAATAGCCCACGGCAAGGGCTGGGAGCGGCGCACCAGCTGTGTTGGTGGACGGTCTCATCTCGGATTTGCAGAGGCCACGGGGCGCCTGTGTTAGAAGGGGCTCGGCGTTCATCCCCTGCCAAGTGTAAATCCCCACGGCACAGCACCTGGAACCTGCGCTGCCGCCGGGCCGTGACTGGGCCGTGACACCTCGGCCTCGTCCGTGCGGTGCGGGCGGTCAGCCCCGGGGAAAGGCGGCCACATCCACGCTGCGTGTCAGGAACCAGGGATACCGAGTCCCGCGTCCCAGACCACCCCTCCCTGTCCGGGCGGGGCTCCCCGGGCCGGGCCCCCGGCACCGCCCGGGCGGGGCGGGGCGTTCCCGGGCGCCGCTTCCGCCTGGGCCGGGCCCGGCGGGGGCAGCGGCGGGAGGAGGATGCTGAGCCCGCGGGAGCGCGGCGGGGACCTGGCCCGCTTCTACACGGTGACCGAGCCGCGGCGGCACCCCCGCGGGCACACCGTCTACAAGGTCACGGCGCGGGTGAGTCAGCGGCCGCTGCCTGGCCCCTCGCCCTGCCCCTCGCCCCCGCAGCTCCCCGGCCTGCCTGGTGCTCGGTCTGTTCAAGCCGCCGCTGTGTGCGGAATAGCGCCCGTGGGGGACCCTGGCGCGCCTGGCCGCGACGTGGAAGCCGCTGTCAGGGACACGGGTGGGAGGGAAGGTGGGACACGACGGCCCCTCCAGAGCCGAGCCTCTGTCGCCTCCTGCAGACTTGTAGCTTCACACAGCGTTGTAATGGCCTCAGACGCGCTTTGCAATCGACTCTCAATTGCCGTGCTGTCTGGTGCAGGGCGTGCGAGGGGTAGCTTAAAACCAACCAGCTCCTTCTTTTCCGCCCCACTTCTTCTGCCCCGGGTCTCTTGGATGGGTTGCAGTGGAATTGCCCAGCCTTCCTGCCGGCCCGGGAGCGGCGTCCGTGGGCTCAGCACGCCCACGCTGTCAGCGCGGAACTGCCTGGGCTCGATGTATGGGCGGTGTGCGCCTGGGAGGGTCCGACCCCCGTCGGGCAGGAGGGGGCCTGGGTGAGTCAGAGAGGCCTAGCAGAGAAGAAGGAAAGCTGCTGCAGATAACTGGGTATTGGGAGAGCTGGTGTGGCAGCTTTGCTGAAAGCTCCTTCTCTTCCCCTAGGGAAATTCCTTGCTTTCTTTTCTCCTCCGCTTTCCTATTTGAACCAAAAAGAGAAAGGAGACTAAGTAAATATATGGAGATAGGCGCAAGAGGAGAGGGAGTTCAGCTCACAGGTATGGTGGGATATATTGAGATTATCTGAAAACATCACAGAGTTTATTTAAATGACCTGTGATCTTGTAGTTACTGCAGCTGCTGGCATCCTGCTTGTAAGAGCAACATATGCTTATATGCATATTTCCCTTATTTCAAAATATACAGCATTCTATATGTGTGACTTGTGAAATTAAAAATATTTTTTAAATTTCTTTTTTTCTGGTCAAATATATATATATTCACATCCACCAAACATGACTATGCGACATATTTAAACCATTCTTTATGGTTCAATAAAACTTAGTATTTGTTAAGAGGAAAAAAAAGGAGAATTGTTTTCCCCTGTGATGTTTTAATTTAAAAAGCCTTTCCTGAGATAGAGTCAAGGAGGAAAACAGTGCCATCACATTTTCATATAGTAGTTCATGATGGGCTAAATCTGTGTGTGTTTTAGGGACTAATAGTAATGAGCCAAGACTTCTGCTTATTTTACTGTGGTGACTTTGTTCTTATTGACTAAAGTCAGTTAAAATTCTCAGTGATATTTTGGTGTCTGTAAAATTGTTAAAAAACAAGTTGTGGCTAACTAGTTAGGGGTGTCACTCTCTCCTCATCCCATAAGTTGTGGATGTTCTGGTGCATTTCCAAGTGAGGCAGTGCAGAATCAGGTGGTGCACTCACTGCATGTGATTTGGTACAGAGCAAGGCACTGATCAGTCTGTGAGCTGTCCAAATTAAACTGAGCTGACCAGAGATCCCTAGTTCTTTACTGTGTTTTGATAGCTAAAATCCTCGAGGTGAAAAATTGTTTTGCTTTTATGCAGCAAAAGGTGGCTTGGATTCACAAATGTAGAAGTATAAATAACTTTTGTTTCAATAGGGCACCATCTGGTAATCTGTTGCATAGTACTTCAAGTGAGGATTTGGGGAGTTAGATGCAGAATAAAATGATTTAAAAATAATTCAATGTACATATCAGGTATCCTCTCTTTTTCTTTCCTTCTATTCCTCCCTCCTGTTCCTGCAGTGATCTGGCTCCATGGTTGATATCACAGCACTCCAGCTGTATTTGCTGATCTGATGCTCAGCAACTTTGGGGACCGTCAGGAAAAAAGTGAGGCTGATCTTCCAGCTGTGTTGAATATCATTCTGACTGAGATCTAGGGTGGTCAGTACGTGTTAGTGGAGATTTGTGGTTACTTAGCGTGATATATGAGTGAATCTTTTGTGAAATGAGGTTAAAGGAAATTTGTGTTTCAATGTAATGACAAATAAATAATCGTGGATGAGAAAGCACTTGTTTAGCTTGTCCTAAACACCTGACCCACGGCATAACTACCCATGCAGTCTCTTCTGAGTGCTAAGGAGGTCTATCTTTATTTCAGCTTTTTCTTGAAGGTTTTGTTTGTTTAGCAGAGAATATATATTTTATTTATTTGTAAGCAGACAAGATTAAATGAATGTTGGTTATTTAATATCCATTTCCAAAGGCTAAGAAAGAGAAAAATATATTAGCAGGTTGTGACATGAGGAATGTTTGATGATATCTGAAAATATAGGCTACTATAAAAGTTCAGCTAATTTGGAAGATTGCAATTATTAATGATAATTAAAATTCTAATGAGTTATGTTGGATATCTGCAGGTCAGACAAGGAATGGTATAATCTGAAATACTTTGCTTAATGGTGAGGATCTTTGTAGGCTCTCTGTTTTCAGAGCCTAATGCTGTAATTGTGCATTGCTTAGCTCATTGGTGGGTATCCTAGTGATATTTTTAAAAATAGGTGAAGGTTGCTTGCATTAAGGATTCGTGGAAGGAGCTGACTGCATTGATCCTCGTGAAAGGATTAAAAAAGGACATGGAAAATTTGGGGGATTGGGTCATCTTTGCCAAGTCTCTAGGTTGATTATAGGTTGGATGGAAGGGGCACACCTCTTCTGAGATGACTGACCTTCAGGAAAGGATATGAAGAACAAAGTAGGGCAACACATAAATTATTACATACTGACTTAAAGTTGGCATGGCTGGTAGATATAGAAGGCGATGTAACATTAGAGCAAGTGTGAAACAGGGCCTCTGGGTTTTATTCCAGATTCTTACTAACTGGCTGGGTAATTACTCATCTCTCTGGGTCTCCTTCTGCCCATCTGGTAACTTACCTTGCTGCCAAAACTGTTGGAAGGCTTTAACTAAAGGTGAACTGCAAAGCTAAGCAGTTGGTGTCTGCCCTTTGGTGTTCTTCTGTGATGTGTAGCCATGCCTGTGATATTTTCATCCCCCAGCTCTACAGGCTCCTTATATGAAGTACGCCAGCTATTAGAAAAGGTGGTTAGAAATATTTCACCAATTATACTTATAAACTGCCTGGTAGTCAATGAAAGAGCAACAGCCACCAAGGTTAAAATTTGGTAAAGTTGCCAAATGTAAGATTACTCAAGAGTGAGGAAAAGTTGAGAAAGGTTTTATCAAAAGATAGACTACGCTGGAAGAAGAGGACTTTGATGTGCAAGGTGAGAGAAAGAACTTAGACTTGTGAAGGAAAATGTTTCAGGTCTTTTGGAGGATAGCTAGAAAAGGTAACACTTCTCTTTTCTGTCTTGTGTCCTCCAAAATGTGTGAAAGATGACAGTGGCTGGGCTGTGTAGTAAACTGATGGTATGAAATCTGGGAGGCTTTGACAAGGATTCTTGAAAAATGGAAGGGAGGAAGAGAGCTAGTTTGTGGGGAATATAAGGGCATGTTACCGTGACTTATCAAGAGAAAAGTGTAGATTCAGTGACTTCCATCTCAGAGCAACAGCTGCCTGGTGCTTGTGGTAGAGCGGGATGGAGTGTGAGTCTCTGGGGTGCAAGTAGTGTGGACTCCTTGTGCTTGCCTACACGCATCACCTGTTCGCAGCATCAATTATTCTGGGGTGTGCCACCGTGAGGATAGTCCCAGCTGGATTGAGAATGCCCTATTTTGCTTTAGCTAACAATAGACTAATTATTCTGTTAAACAGCTTTGGCTCTTATAATGAAGGATATATTGACATGCACAAGATAATTGCAGTTATGAATTAAAGATGTCTCTATTTGGTTTGTGTGTTTGTGTGGATATGTTCTTACTGCTGTTTATGAGACCAGTACAAAACTTGGATTGCAAAGGCTTTTGAAATCAATATTTAAAGAAAAAAAAAAAATCCTGACAAAATACAGGCGTTTTTATGGTGTGCAGCCAAGCCTCGCTTTCACTGCAATCTTCCCCTGGACAAAGCCATTTATAATTAATCAGGCAAAGAGTATTTAAGGAGAAACAAATACGCAAGGATGGAGTCAGATGTCTCTGCACACTGATGGTTGTAAGTAAAGTGGAAATACTGCCTTAGTAAATGAAAAACCTCACATTCACAGTGAGGTGGTATGCAGCTTATGTAGCTTTATGTAAGCTTTATAACCTTAATGAGCTCTGCTTATTGGGAGAAATGTGGCCCTACTAAGAATGAATAGTAAGAGACTGGAGAGATGACTGGGGATGTGCCCTACCTGGCTTTGTTTCGAGAGATGCCTTCTGTGCCATTTTGCCTAGAATGTACATCTTGCTTTGTGATCATGACTGACTCTGCTACTAAAATATCTCACCATGTTGTATTTGGGTATTAGACTTCTCCAAAACTACCTGGAAACTTTTTCTGAGTGTACAGGAACATGCAGCTGTTTACCTTTTTCCAGATTTTTCTCTTCAGTAGCAAACCATTATATGTTACTCTTTAACTTTCAAACTGAAAATCCAAGCGCTTATTTTTTTTTGTTTGTTTGTTTTGCTTTTCAGATTGTTTCAAGAAAAAATCCAGAGGATGTCCAGGAGGTAACAGTTTAAACTTATGCAAATGTCTTTATGTATCACACTATGCCTTTTGAAACATCTTTGATGTAATTTACAAGTCTATGTTTTGTCATTGTAATTGAGCAAACAGTTTTCATGTGTTTTCCGTTTGTCTTTAGCTCTCATAGTTGAAAACAGTAGCTGCTGTAACATGTTGCATTTTATTCC